AAAATTACTATAACTTTATATCCAAAAATTTACATTTTTCTATCCATTAAAATTATTATTACTAATAAAATGTTAAAATTTACTATTATAAATATTTTTTTTTTCATGGATCTTACATTTTAACATACAAATATTTTCAAGGATCTTACACAACCTGCATTCGATTAAGTCTGGTACAGTTTTGAAATTCTGTTAATGCTTGAATTAAATGTTACAACGGCTATATTTTTAAATATGTTGACCAAGCATTTATTGTGATTCGACTACATTAATTGTACATTCAATTAACTGCATTTATTGCTGCTAACTGCTTTGACTGAAGTGTTGTATTCGACTGTATTAGTAGTTAAGTCGACTTGAGAGCGTCAGAATTGTGAAAAACTATAAATAGACGCGAAATTGAATTCTGTAAGAACTCTCTTCAATTCTAACATTTTCATATTCATTACAAATTAGTGCTATCTTACAGAACGTGGAAAATCTCCAAGAATCAAAGAAGAAGATCGTGGTGATCATCTCTTGTGATTTCTTGAAGAGCAAGATTGTTGTGCTTTCAAAGAGCCGATCAAATCTGCATAGAGAGGTGTTTACTGAAAGATCAGAGTTGATAATCTATTGAAGATTGGGTTGATTCCCTGTTGTGATTACAGTGCGGCGTTCTTGACTTTGAGGGGTTTCTCAAAGGGTGTAGACAACAGAAGAGGAGATTCTTGCTGCTGGTCCTTTTGTTGTATGTCTATATTTTGATTAGAGGGTTAGAGAAATGTTTTATATTTTTGACGTGGAGGTCTCTATAAAAGCCTTGTTGTAAAAACCTTGATCATTATAGTGCATTTGCTTCTTGTGGTGGGAGGACACTGGATGTAGGCTTGGCCGAACCAGTATAGAAACTCGGCGTTTGATCTTTCTATCCCTACTTTGTTACATTCAGTCGACTTTATTTTTCACGCATTCGATTATATTTCGATGCACTACAAAGTCATTTTCCTTGCGTTTCAAGAAAGCTTTTAAAGACATCTACTTTGCGAAAAAGATTTATAGAAAACATTGTTTTTGTGTTTCACCAATTCACCCCCTCTTGGTGTTGAAAACTAAGCCATTCTATTTTAACACACCAATTCACCAAAACATCATTAACACCAATTAAAGACATACTTATACAAGACATCAAACATCATACAACTAATTTCACTCAATGAAAACAACATTTTCACCAATCATTAATCTCTAACATAAATAAATCGTATAATCATTATAGAAATTTATCAATCATACTTGAAATTAAACACTTAAATCATAAAACTAGCATCCCTTACCTTAAAAGAAGCTATCACAGTTGTACACAGCTCATTGCTCTTGCTTCGAACCCAAGGAACTCTAAAGAAACCTACAAACCACAAGAACATAATCAGAGCAAGTCCTTAGGACCTCTGATCAACAAAGAGATAGGTAGAAAACTAATTTAACACATGCCAATACCATGAATTTGACAGAAGATTTAAAGGAAAAAGGAGCAAAAACTTAAGGAAAAATGATTGGATAAGAAAGAAGGATTATCTACCGTGATCACTCAAACACCTTCTAATCATCAAACAGATGATCTAGGCATTAGAAATTGTAGAGAGAATGCAGAGAGAATTAAGAGAAAGATTTCTATTGTAAGTGTTTTTTAATAATGAATCAAGTTTAAAAATTTCTATTTATATTTTTCAATTATTTTAACTTTAGAAAAAAATACTCAATTTTATTATTTTAAAACATATATAACTTTAATATTCAATTTTATAGGATCTTAGCGTAATACTTATACAAGGCATCAAACATCATACAACTAATTTCACTTAATGAAAACAACATTTTCACCAATCATTAATCTCTAACATAAATAAATCATATAATCATTATAGAAATTTATCAATCATACTTGAAATTAAACACTTAAATCATAAAACTAGCATCCCTTACCTTAAAAGAAACTACCACAGTTGTACACAGCTGATTGCTCTTGCTTCGAACCCAAGGAACTTTAAAGAAATCTCCAAACCACAAAAACATAATCAAAGCAAGTCCTTAGGACCTCTGATCAACAAAGAGATGGGTAGAAAACTAATTTAACACATATTAATACCATGAATTTGACAAAAATTTAAAGAAAAAAGGAGCAGAAACTTACTTACTCGGTAAGAAAAAATGATTGGATAGGAAAGAAGGATTATCTACCGTGATGACTCAAACACCTTCTAATCGTCAAACAGATGATCTAGACATTAGAAATTGTAGAAAAAATGCAAAGAAAATTAAGAGAAATATTTCTATTATAAGTATTTTTAATAATGAAACAAGTTTAAAAATTTTTATTTATATTATTCAATTATTTTAAATAGAAAAAAATAGTCAATTTTGTTATTTTAAAACATATATAACTTTAATATTCGATTTTATAGATATTAGCGTAATACTTATACAAATTCATTTTAGCAACAATGTAAAAGGTAAACAAAGTAATTCTTATACATTTAATCAATTACTTTTTTTAATTAAAATATATTAACATATTGCACAATGAAATTATAATTTGAATTTTTTTCAATCAATATTTATAATGAGACGGTTTCTTTTTTAACTTATACAGTGCCTATTTCAACGTAAAAGGTAAACAAAGTAATTTACTTTGGTTTTTATTTTACCAACATAAAGAATTATAAGCATTCCCATTTTGAAAATATGATTCATATAATTAATGACATTATTTAACTTTAATTAACTAATAACAAAAAGACAACTTTATTTCGTTTTTAACTGTCTAATATAGATATTTTCAAATAAGGTAGGAACCTAAAAAGTTGGCTACCACCCTATGTTTTCTTTCTAGGAAGGACAATAAGTAAATTCTTTTTATTTAAGGGATCATAAACTATTAGAATTTAAGTAGGTTAAGTTATCATTTTTCTTCACATTCTTATGGAAGAGCCGTGTGTGAAGGAATTTTAAAATAAATAAATGCAAATAATGCAATAAAATCTGGAGTCAAGATGGTTATATCACCTGAATATGACTGGTGAAGAAATGAAGAGAGGGTGTTTCAATCATTCCTTGTGCAACTTCATAACAAACGGCGCAACACATGATAAGGAATTAAACATTTACTTTTAATACTCTTTATTCAAACTTTTCACATGCAAGCTTACCCAATACCTATACCTTAAAAGAAAGAATAATAAGTTTAGAAAAATCAGATTAAGAGTAGGAAAATGATCACAAATTAATTAATATAAATTATTTGATAGTTTTTTTATATTGCATTTCAAATACATTAATTTTGGTATATTAATATAGATTAATTTTGGTATATAAATATAGATTAATTATATTTAGATTTATAATTTTCTGAAACATTTTTTTTTATCCCTTATACAATATAATAAAAAAATGCTAACTAATACTATTGAAACACAAAATAATAAATAATTAAATTAAATTAAGTCAGTCAAACCGGCTCATCGAATTCAACTTGGGTGAGCTGAATTGAAAACTAACCTACATAAAAAAATTATATTTTTTTCAAACTCAACCCGAGTTCTGTAGTAGATTGAGTTGACTCGCGGATTAAAACCTCTAGTTAAATTTATATTTGTTTAAAAAATATTAAAAACTAATTTACCTTAAAGTTTTTTGGTTTTTTTTTCTTCTCCTTGTCTCGCTCTCATCACTTTTCACATTTTTTTTCTCATTATTTTATAGAAAAATGATAAAAAATAGTGAAAATCAAAGAAATAAAAATAAAAAATAACCAAATTTAAGCACTAATAAAATAAAAGGAATTCAAATTTTCTTGATTAAAAAGACATCAAAATCATGCAAAAAAAAGGAAATCTTAATTTTAAATTTATTTTTAGAATTAAGAAATTAAAAATAAAATAAAATCTTCTATATATATTACTTGGTGATATATTAAATAGAAAACTTTTCAGTTATGAGAGAGTGTTCCTCGAAATGTATGTTTATAGAAGGCAACAATGGAAGAGGAAGTAGATGGAATCGATGTGGGGCAAAAAGAGGTTTGGTTGTATGTTAAAAAAAAAGGGTAAAGTTGGGAGGAACATGGTGGGTTGGGGGATTCCCCATGAAAAAGGCGAAACGAAAAGAGAGCCAAAATTGTTACAACTCAGAGGATAATGGTGGGAATAGGACCTCTCTTTTTCTGCTAACTAATCATGTTCAAAACCTCCTTCATGTGAGTTACAACCTAAACTTATTAAAACTATCACATAACACAATCCATCAACATGAATCATTTCTTAGGGACCATTTCAATTTATTCTATCCACCTAACTTCACCCACTCTCACGTGCTTCCATAACACCTTTTTCCTCTTACATGGGCCATACGCCTCTTTCCGCTCCCTCCCCTGGCCCGTTTGTAGGTCCATCAATATTCCTCAATTATTAGCAGATTGCACCAACACTTTCCCTTTCTTTCATTTCTATTGGGCTTTTGGCCCGTTTCACCCTTTCTCTGGGCTGCTTTTTCTTTACGAGGCCCACCAAAAGTATACTTTGCTGTTGGGATCTCACTTCCTACACTCTGCAAATCACTGATGTCACTTCTCATTTATTCTGCAAATATTACCTCCAAAAATAAAAATTGTCATTAAAGCCCAAAAATTTATTTACTAAACTCACTCATTGGAAGGAGAAATGCTTAAACTTATTTTCAATAGTTATTTTTTTCACTCGTTATATTATTTTTCACTTATTAATTTGAGTGTTGAAGTGACTTTTTTTTTATGTGATATTGGATCCACTCTTCATTATTGTACATAATCTAATTTATAGAGTATCCTACGGAACTTCATCCAAACGTATTCATTTTTTTTATTACAACATGAATAAATGTTCAAGAATAATCTTATACACTTCCTGTTTGATGTTCTTTTAACATTTATTGAATTTTAACTAATACATATAATAAAAAGAGTCAATGCATAATTAAAAAGATTTGACTTCAATCATTTATCAGTCCAATTTATACAAATTTTGATTCAATGAGTGTTAATTAATGTAATAAATATAATGACATCTCCAAGTTAAAATTCAATATTTTGATTTTTTATATATATATTATTTATTTTTGCTCGATTCTTAATTTCATATTTAAAATTTTCAGAACATCAATATACTTAATTTTGTATCCATAATTTATATCAAAATTTATTATTGAAAATAAAAAGCATTAAAGTTTTATTTGATTTAAAAATAAGTTAACAAATTCTGACCAAAGTGAATAATCCGGATATGCTGTTTTGTTATGTTTTATCTGCTGCCATTTTATTATGGACATCTCTTAATTTATATTTAATATTACAATTCCCTTCCTATCTGGGAAGGTGCACTGTTTACACACGTATATTGACTAAAAATTAAAAAATAATTTTATCATTGCAGAAAAATTAATTATAATATTATTTATATGTAAAAAAATAATCATACCTTGAAGAAAATTATGATTGTTAATACATAGAAGAAAAGAAGCAAACTCGTCTGGGTGGTGCCACGTACCAATGGGACCCACATGGAAATCTTCTCCTGCCACGTGTACGTCAACCTGTCTCATGAAAACGGTAACCTTTTCGAACAAACAACGTCATCGTTTGTTTCGTTAATTCGTAGTTTTTGTCTTTTGTCTGACGGAAAGGGTAACGAACGAAGGACTAAGTCCAACATTTTTCATTATCAATCACATTCAGAGTAAGATCCTAACCGTTGGTTATTTTGTCGTACTATATTTTATTCATTGTCTTCTGCTAACAAGTGTTTTCCTTTGGTCCAATATTCTGTAAGAGAGAGAAAGCACAATAAATAAATAAACAAAACAAATTGCTCTGTGCTCATTGCTCAAACACTCTCTGTTTTCGGTTATCACAAAGAACATTTTAACATCACTCACTTTCTCTCTCTCTGTTTTCACTCTCAGATTCTTCAACCATGTTCGTGAAGAAACTCGTGGAGAAAGCATCCATAAAGAAGGTAACTCAATTTCTATGCCTCTACTTCGTTTCATCAAACCGGTTTACTTTGCTTCATGCACTCATCACTTTTCTTTTTCTTCTTTTCCTCTGTCTCCGATTAGTTTCTCTGTTGAAATCTGGCAACTGTTGTTTGAAAAAGTTGTTAGAAAGAACGAGGAACCAAGCATAAACGATTTTGGTTTTGCTTAAATGATTGAAATTCACCATCGGATTAAAATGACTGTCCTCAATGTGTGCTCTGTTTCTTTGTGAACGAAATTGGTATTGTTTTTACAGTAGAATAAAACTGAAATGGAAATAAAAAGATACCGTGAACGTATGATAACATTGTTTGTGTGTTATCTTTTCATTAATACAATGCAAGCATAAATTATCTAAGATAGTGCGAACTTAAAATCCATTTTTTAACATGATATTAGATTAGAATATAAGGATATTTATTATTTGTTGGATATATTGTTTCACTTATTATCGGATCATCCATTAATGTCTAGTATCACGTTTGAGATGTATATATTTCGATGTGAGGAGAGTGTGTTAGAATTCTTACATTCATTATAAATAAAACCAATTTAAAATATATAAGTGGATACAAACTACACTTTACAAACTAGTTTAATGGATTGAGTAAGACTTAAGTCGACCTGTTAACATTTACCAACCCAAGGCAAAATGTTAATTTTAGTACATATTAAAATTTTGAAAACAAGAAAAAACAGCAAGAATCCAAAGCCCGAGGGTGGAGGGAATCTCAGAATTCAGAAGACAGAACAATTGTGGCCGTTAAGCACTACGCATGCTGTGCAAGTTCTTGCATGAGCTAATTTAATGCTTGGTCTTTTTTTTACCAAACTATTTCAGTTTGAATTTGAAACACATCCAAGAGCCAAAGACAAACACGTTTTCATTTTTCCTTGCGTGTTCATCATAATCTCTACACTTCCCGCAGCACGTTCACGTAAACCTTAACATTTGCGCGTTTAATTTTAATTTTATAGTAAATGATAATATTTTGTTATATAATTATTATTGGAGAAATGAACCTGTAGCAACAAAGACATGCACCAAGAAAAATTTGTGAACTTCATGTAAGAGGAGTATGACATGAATGCAACTAGAAAATTAAAAATACCAGTTGTAAATTTGCGTCGCAGGCTGTTGGAAATTCAGTGGATGGGTTAAAAGCTAGTGATGTAGAACCACGTTTGGTGTTTCATCAAGGGGTACCATCTGGTGGTACCAAGTTTGCCTATGACAATATTCAGAAGATTCTTGCTCTTTCCACCAAGTATGTTCACCCTTTTTCAATTTTGTGATTTACAAATTATAATATATAAGTGAGGTGCAAACCTCACCTTACAAGACGGTTTTGTGGGGATGAGTTAGGCTTAAAACCCACTACTGACATTTAATTAACAGAGAAATATGTCACAACTCAAATTTTTGTTGAATTCCTGTTTAAAACTGATTTTTTTTTAAGGGATGGTCGGATTAAACTATTTGGAAAAGATAATGCCCAAGTCCTGCTTGAATCTAGAGAGCCGGTGCCTAGCAAATTTTTACAGGTTATATTTCCTTTCTTTTTCCTAACCAATTTTTTGTTCTTGCCATTTCAAATGGCTCGTTGCCGTCTTTGATGCAGTGAAAGATTTTATTTTTCTATGACATTTACACTACTAATGTAATTAATATTTGTATGCAGTTCATTCAGAACCAAGGCATCCTTATAAATGTCTCTTTCAATAATCATATTGAGGCAAGTGTATCAATGGACTAGCTTAAATTTGTTATATATTTCAACTTTCAAGTGACTTCTGCAATTCTATACTAGACAGAGTTCGACTATTAGGCTTCGTTCACTTAAATGGATTTGGAGGAGAGTGATGGAGGGGATTTGAGATAATTTTAAGATAAAATCTTTTTGTTGTTTATTTGAGTGGATTTGGAAGTAACTGAGAGTAAATTTGAAAGTAAAATTTACAAGAATTAATGTAGAATTTAATTGATGTGACATATTAAAAAAAGTACTTCCAAATTCACTCTTACTTACCTCCAAATCCACCCAAATAAACAATAAAAAAATTTACCATCAAATCCTCTGAAATTCCCTCAATCACTCTTCTTCAAATTCAAGTGAACAAAGCGTTAAGGTTCACCATGTCAATATTTCATTCAAATATGTTCATAAAATATATTGCAATAAAGATATTTCACATATAGGTTTGGGACATAGACAAGAAACTGCTCATTGACGTGTTCATTGTCAAAGAAGAAATAACCTGTTTTTCGGTTCTTCAACATAGCCTATTCATGTAAGTTTTTCAGTGTACTTGGAAATAAGCTGTCGATAAAATAAACTTTGTAGAAGCAGCAGAAGTTATGAGCATGTGTGTGCATTGGCAGGTACATTGGATTTTCTAATGGTAATATTGCAGTTTTAAGTCTTGATCAACAACCATGGCATGTGGTTAGGATGAAATACTCCATACCCGTTTCAGCTTCCTATGGTGAGATTTGGTGTAATTTTTTTGTCTTTGTTCTTGTTAGATGATATTTTTTTTTTAAATTGTTGAATTTCCAAAACAACAGTTCGATTGGAAAAACAATTAAATAAATAACGAGTACCTTCTTCGACATAGCTTCTTTTCCTCTTTTTAGGAAATTCAACAGAAGAATCTGATGATACTGTTGTCACACACGTACTGCCTCAACCAGCAGCTGAGAGTCAGAGGTGATTAGCAGAAAACAAGCCTGCTTTTTTGACATTTATATATAACTAATTTGGTGCTAGCTTCACTTGATCAATTTATTTATTTATTTAAATATACTTTAGTTTCTAAACTTTAATGTGAAATTAGAATTAGTTTCTATCTCAAATTTTCATATAATTTGGTCTCAAATTTAAAAAATAAATAGATATGATCCTCTTAATCTAATTAAATTATGTATCTTTGACGTGTCAAACAAAGTTTCAGGCTCATGTTTGAACTGTGTACCGCATCTACTCGACACTTTCCAATTCAAATATAATTCTGAAATGTGTCGTAAAAAAATTTAATCACTGATTAGGAGTAATATATCCATTTATTTTTAAAGTAAGGAATTAAAGAACATACCAAAGGAGTATAACCATATTTAACCAATTTATTTTGATCTAAAAACTTTCCAACTTTTGTCCTCTTGTTTGTTCAATGCAGAGTTCTCATAATCTTTAGAAATGGGCAAATAATATTGTGGGATATTCGAGAAAGCAGGTCCATCTTTAGAACTGGAGGAAGAATGTTACAAGCACGGTATAATGAAACAAAGAAAGTGTCTTCTGCATGTTGGGTATGTCCTTTCGGAAGTAAGGTGGTTGTAGGGTACAACAATGGAGAGCTCTTCATTTGGAGCATTCCTTCTCTAAACACAGGAAATAGTTTAGCAGCTGATTATAGCAGTCAAAATACTCCAATGTTCAAGTTTAACTTAGGATATAAATCAGACAAAACTTCAATAAGATCAGTAAAATGGATTTATGCAGAAGGAAGAGCTAGTCGACTATACGTTATGGGAGGTTCTGATTATGCCCCTTCAAACTTGTTGCAGGTATTTGAATACTTTGCCTACAAACTTGAAAAGACTCAACATTTCAATACTTTCCTTGACAGCTTTTCTTTTTATTGGGAAAAAAATAACAAATTGAAGTTCATCTGTTACAAGTTACAACAAATTTGAGATTTTGGATGGTTTACTTTGCATTGAATTGGTTTACTGAACTTGAGCTAAGTTTAATTTGGTGATTTAAAATAACTACCACCAATCTGCATTAAATGAAACAGGTAGTGTTGTTGAATGAGCATACAGAATCTCGCACAATTAAGATGGGGCTTCATTTGTTAGAAGGTTCTGTTGACATGCAGATCATATCAACCTCAAGCAAGCAGAGACAAAATTATTTCATTTTGCTTGGGAAATCAGGAAACGTGTATCTGTATGATGATAATTTGATTGAAAGATATCTGTTGCAGAGCCAGTCTAAGTCCACTCCTTCACTGCCAAAGGAAGTGGTTGTGAAGTTACCACTGTCAGATTCAAGCATCACTACAGCAAAATTCATCTCCAACAATCCCAGTGCGTTTAGTTCTGAAGACGAGGTAATGGGATAATGAAACTGTTCCGTTACGGTTACTGTTTAAAATATATTTTAATTATATTGACAATCTAATTATGGTATATGTTACATTTTTTTGGTCACATAGTATTACAGCCAGCTGATCAAGAATTATCCACCGCTTATTCCCATTGAAACAAATTTCAAAGATGGGATTAACTTCAGTGCTGCCAATTTCACTGGATTTTCGAACTTAAGAAACTTGTACATAACTGGACACAGCAATGGAGCCATAACTTTTTGGGATGCGTCATGTCCCTTTTTCACCCCAATTTTGCAATTAAAGCAACAGGTGCTAATTTTATCCAAAGCAATTAGCTTGTGTCCAAATGTTAGCTTTATTTGTTTTTGGAAAAACATCCTTATAAAGTGGACACTTTTTCCCTTTAATGAATAAGATAGCATGAGTAAGAGTTTGTTTCACATTCAGAAAGAAGACAGTTTTCATGTTTGTATAAGTAATCTTGATTGCTAGCATTTTTTCTTGGTTTTGTTAGTTCGTCTGTTTTCTTTATAATGTATTAGCAACAGTAGAAAGTGGTAACTTTCTCTTTTGCACATAATTATTGTTTGATCTGCTTCGTTCATCTCAATGCAGGCTGAAAATGATGTTTCTTTAAGTGGTGTTCCCTTGACAGAATTATATTTTGATAGCAACTCTCCACTCCTAATTTCTGGTGATCAAAGTGGGATGGTGAGTTTCATTCAATTGTGAATTTTGTGAAAGTGATATTTTCCCTTTTCGATTCTAGTCACCCATGCTTATTTTATAGTAAGTATGATATGATGATCTGCAGGTTCGTATCTATAGATTCAAACCTGAACCATATGCATCCAGCAGCTTCATGTCTCTTACTGGTATTGTATGGAATGTTGCTTAATTTTCTACGAAATCCTTAGTTATTAGACAAGCACAGACTTCTCATTTTAGTTGATTGTGACTTGCATTTCCATTCCTCTTTTACAGGAAATACAAAGAAAGGGACTGATCATGTAATCCACAGTATGAAACTCGTAAAAACTAGTGGTGCTGTAATTTGCATGAACATAGATCATAACTCAAGGCACCTTGCTGTTGGTTCTGACCAAGGAAACGTGAGATGTTTTTCTTCCTTGGCTTTTTAAATTGGGAGATGTGTTGTTCTCACTGTTCCACAGAAACAAGTTTAGTTTGCCATTCAACACCAATCCTCCTTGCACAGTAGATTGTCCTTCAATGTGATGGAAGTTTTTCAAATGCACTTTTAATTATATGGAATGCATTGATTAAAGCGAGTTAACTGTCTTATAACTTTTGGATCCATTGGAGTCAACAAGGATCAATTGAGCATATTAGCATTAAAATAGACAACACTTTTTGTCACTGCTTTAAGCAACTTAGGAAACCTAGAATATTAATTCTATGGCTGTTAGGAGGAACCCAAGTACGATTTTAAGTCTCACAAGTAGAAATGAAAAAGTTAAATATCATATAATAAATTACTTTAAAGTTTTAGGTTGAAGGTGATGTCAATTTTATTATGTGGATTTGGCTGATGTCACTTTGGTATTAGATGGATGGTTTGTCTTTTTAAGTCTTATTGGTGTTGAATCATCTATTAATGTGAAGCTTTTCTATTTTAGGATCTTTGATTTGAGTGTACATTTGTTTTAATATATTCACAGTGCTAAGTTATGTGATAATGAATCATTTTATTACAGGTTTCAGTCATTAACATAGATGATCCATCTTTGTTATACCGGAAAAATATTTCAAGTGAAATTTCCTCCAGTATCGTCTCTTTGCAGTTTAAAGCCTGCAGTTTGCGTGGTTTTGAGAAAAACATTTTACTAGTTGGAACAAAGGACTCATCTGTTCTAGCACTAGATAGTGAAACTGGAAATCCATTCAACACTGAAGCTATTCACCCTAAGAAGCCCTCTAAAGCCATATATATGCAAGTGTTGGGTAAGGGTTTGCACACTTGAAACAATGATCAGATGTCACAGTACGTAGATTTAAGTTATCAATGATCCAAAATAGCAGTGAATGATCTGATTAAAAAAAAGAAGAGTAAAACTTTGTACTATGTAATACAGATGGAGTAGGAGAACCAATCACAGGATCGGTTACAAAAGATGGCTTAGACTCAAGAGAAGGGAATCGTACTGATGATGCAACAGCAAAGCAATTGTACATTTTGCTGTGTTCTGAGAAAGCTTTGTATGTCTATTCTTTTGTGCATGTTGTACAGGTGACATGTTCTTTACTTCTGTCCCTACTCATGAGTTATGAATGACCCAAGTATTTGATGATGCTCGCAGTTACTTACTCACTCTCATACGTTTCAGGGAGTTAAAAAGGTGCTTTACAAGAAGAAATTTCATTCCTCTTCCTGTTGCTGGGCATCAACAATTTACAACCTCTCTGATATCAGTCTTCTTCTCCTTTTCACCAATGGGAAAGTGGAATTAAGGTGGTGGTTAAGTCTGCATATACTTTTTAGAAGAATTGATGGGTATATCACATGGGATAAGACTTACCAACTATTTAGTGCTAAAATTCAATTCCCATTTTTAGGATTTTCTTCTGTAAGAAAAATTCTATAACCAACCCTTATTCCCACTAAGTGCACCAAGTGGGTTTGGCTTTGTGGATTCTATCATATTTTAATGCTGAATCTTGGCTAATGTTTTCGAGCAATCTCATACATCTTAAATCTTCTTAATAGTCTCCCATCATGTCAACTTCATGTAACATTCTATTTTTATCAGTGAATTAACAACACATATGCAACTATCTTAGGTCTTTGCCAGCTTTATCTCTGATAGCGGAGACTTCAATTAGAGGTTTCACTTATTCACCACCAAAATTGAAATCATATTCTGATAGCCAGATATGTTGTTCACGCAAAGGAGATCTTGTTTTGGTATGACTGTATCTTTGACTAGTACATCGGGTTTTTATTAACATACATTTTAGACATCTGTTTAACTCAATGTCAGTGTACAGGTGAATGGTGATCAGGAAATTTTTGTTGTCTCATTGTTGGCCCAGAGGAATATTTTCAGGTATATATCCTAGACAATGGCATTTTGAATGTTATAAATATTTACCAATAACCACATATAACTTCTGTCTGGCTATAGCCTTTTATCTTCTTTACCATTTCTCTTTAGAACTGGTAGATATTAGTCTCATAGTGCATAATGCACGACTTTGTTTTAGGCTTTTGGACTCTGTTAGCTGCGTCTACAGAAAGGAAAGAATGCTATCAGAAGAAGAGCATGGTCCTAGCCCTGTAATCGATAAGGAAAAGAAAAAGGTAAACAGTAGCATTTTAATAACTAACACAACTGTATTTATGACTGAAGGTATTTGATACTTATTTCCGGCATTCCAGGGTATATTCAGCTTCGTTATAAAAGATTTTACAAGTAGTAAAGAAAAGCATGGACCCCTCATGGGTAAAGAAGATCCCAAAGAAAACATACGGGAACTCTCAGCAGTATTCTCAAATGCGAACTTTGCATGTTACGATAATGATGATAAACCAACAGTGGATGAAAGTGAGCTTGAATTAAACATAGGTATAACAATGTAACATATATGTGCTACTAAATATTTGCTTAAAAGAAAGATGAAACTCTTTTATGCCAATAAACTCACGTTGTCTTTTTTTATTGGTGATCTGAATCTGCTTGCCTAAAAGCTGTATGTTACAAACATGACTAAATTACATTACTAGATTAATTTGATTCCTAAGACAGTACTGAGTACTTTCTAACATACGGATCCTCGAGTTTAAAGTAACCAATTTGAGGTGTCTCTTTTCTTCCCTTGCAGATGACATTGACTTAGAGGATCATGAAGAAAAACGCAAAGAACAAAGCATATTAGGAGCTCTTAATAAGAAGAAATTGGTTGGAAAATTTCAGTCTCTGAAAGGTTTGTGACAATGAGTTACATTTTAGGCATCTTGAAAGATTACTACGACGATTTCATTATCGCTAGCCAATTTAATCGAGCATTCAATATACAGGAAGGTTGAAAGAAATGAAGGGAAACTACCAGAAGGCATCAGATAAGGAAGGGCACCAGGAGGAAAAAGATGGTGCGCTGGATCAAATTAAGAAGAAATATGGATTTTCTTCTTCTTCCAATGTAAGAATATAATCATCATATGCATTCTAATTATGCTTGACTTTCTGCCAAAACAATTCACAAGCATCGCATGATATGTGTGCTGATTTGCTAGTAAAAGGTGTTTTGTCTAGACCCTATTATTAATTTCTTATTTGGAGGTGTTAAGTGCATTTATTAGTGTAAGCGGTAGTTGGAGGGTCGAGATTAATCATTACCAGAACCTTTAATCTACAATTTATTACCTACCAATTAGAGATTTCTAATCAGTTGCAAATTTCAATCTAGTAAGACGGGCCCAACAGCAGTGGATTATAGTTTCAAGAATCAAACTGAATTAATATTCGTCATTACTTCTTATGCGCAGTATATAGATTTGATAAAATCTTCAACTTGAATGCTAAAAGTTGAGAGAGTAGTTATCTTCCAGCACTTTTGTAACTTGAAGTTCTGGGATTTGGGAAAAGTTTTAAATCTTCATTGTAAAAGCATTGTAAACTCTCGTACGCTAAACAATGTAAATACTTCAAAATAGTCTCAAATTTGAGTGTTACAGAGGTTTCTAGTATGACACCTTCGTTTAAATTTTGAGACCATCTTTGGTTATTATGAACATCGTTTGATCCTGCATGCTTAATAAAAAATTTATCAATGAAGTCATTTGTTTCGGGTGTGGATTAGAGATGACAATTAAAACACTTATTCGCACTTCTCTCTAAACCTCCTAACGGTTGTCTTGAGTTTTGATTATCAAGTTTTTTTAAGCCTCTCAGTAAAATTTTAAATTAACAATAAATGCAATTATTTACCTTTTTGTCTCAGACTTGTATTTATAGGTTTTGAAATGTACTTATAATTAGTATAAACATAATCATGACTCAATATCTGTCAAACATACTTAAACGTACAAACTTGATTATGGGTAATACTTAAATGTTTGAACGTTTATGACTGTTTGGTCATCTTTGATGCCTAGCCGAATGGTTGCTTGATTCGAAACCCTAGTGCGTTGCTGTCGTTGCCCACTCGATCAATAGCTTATTACATAATTGAATATTGTAAGTTATATTTTTATCAAAATTTTAGGGGGCCTAATGGCCCACAGACACAATACATTCTTTAGTTTCAACAGAAGGTTTCTCGATACATGCAATTTTGATCATTGCATAATTAGGCAGTTTCTCCGTATATTTTAAAGCTTCGTTTTTCTTAATGCTCAAATATGAGTGCAAAATTAATCAAACATTAATCTGGTGCTACAGGAAACAACCGCTGCTAAACAGGCACAAATCAAGCTTCATGAAAACACATGGAAATTGCAGGTATCTTTTACCTTGACAAAAAACAATAAAACAGTTAGAATTCCTTAGTCCTAAGCCAATGCACCCAAGAAAATTTGGGAAAAGAATCTAGATCTCAATATTTGTTTACTCATCTTCTTACTTGGTGGCAGGGTACCAACCTTCGTTCCAGAGAGATGCAAGATACAGCAAAATCATTTTCATCATTGGCAAAACAAGTGCTCCGAACTGCTGAGCAGGATAGACAAAGTTGACAAGATCTATTAGTTATTCGATTATACTTAGGTCATACATTATTTATTTTTTTAATTACACATACATACATACATATATATATATATATATATATATATATATATATATATATATATATATTAAATTTTTTTACGACAGTTTGCTCACCATTATATTGAGTTCATGCTTCATTTTACAGTGAGAGCAGCACTTTTATGCTATCCGAATACTTTTCTGTTAGACTGATCATGTATTAAATGGATTTAGATTGACTTTCACTATCTTTACCCGGGAAAGAAATTGTCCGCAATACAGTCAAGAGGTGGCAAAACTGAAGATAAGTCATCTAATTTATTCATTATATAGTCACATATGGATGGGTCGTTACAAAAAAACATCAAGGTAAGTCATGCATAACTCTAGTAAATCTCAAACCACTAAATACCTCCTCCATGCCTTGGTTAAGGCTTAACTAACTCACCACCAACTTATTTAAGACTCAACTAAGAATTGCAATTTTTTCCCCTACACTTAATAGTGCTAACCCATCATAATTGATTTGAAACTGAAAATCTACATGTTGAGTTCAGACCACAAACTTGCAATGACTAGTGTTTAATCAACAGATCTTCCAATAGTGATCGTATCTGTTCTCTGACAGCATCTCTGTTACCAACGTTCAATGTAAAACAAGTTGCCCCTGCATGATTCCTCAACCTTGCAACTTCAGAAATTGACAACATCAGTCATTCACAAGTTCAGCAAAGAAAATTAGGCAGAGAATTGCAACAAATCCTCGTCTATATCTTACAGATCTTTGAGCTTCATGCCTATAATACCTAGTGACAGGTTTTACCCTATCTTGCTTATTTTAAGAATCAAACAAAGGAAATCTGTTCCTAGTACTGTTCAGAAAGAAACAAGATACTGTTTGAGAAATGGGGACTTGAAAATATGGAAAAAAGATTACCTTCTGGTATGTCTCTGCCAAATTTTGGAATTGGAATTGAAGCCAAAACTGGGATATTTGACTCCAAAACTCTTAGAACTGCAGGGAAAAATGACGAACTGAATAACTCCATCTTACCAACTTCGTCAATGATGAAGAGGCTGGTGTCTTCTCTAACCTAGTCATTGAATGCAAGTCTTAAAAGCTCAAAAACTGATATAATACATGGGATATGGGGAAATAATACATTCAACACCAATAGTTTAAAAATGCAAGAGAACAGTTGATGAGTATTATACCACAATTGGAAGATACACATAAGAATGGTCGTATAGTTGGCAAAATATCCAGTAACCTAATCTGCTGCAAAGAAAAAAAAATGCACACCGAAAAGATATTAAAGAAAGTAAGCATACCTGTAACTCGGGCAGTGCTAGTGACTCGAAAGATGCTACATCAACTTTATACTTGCCAACACTAGGCCATCCGACAGACTCAGGGCTGGAAATCCAATGCCATCAAAGAAAACCATTGAATCATATAGACAGAGTTGTATAGTGACAAATACTGGACAATCTAGTCAATTCCGTGTTATGTTAGTTCAAGTAGGATTAAGAAAAAGAATCTAATAACATACTCTCTAGAACATAATATTAGTTACACCTTAAAATGTATTTCACGGATTCTTGCAGATGCTACAGTTTTCAACAAATTTTAAACATCAAGAGAGTCTGCTAGTAGAAAGGGTGTACTAAGGATGCATTTTTTGTTAGCCCTCATCTTCACACGAAAACCTTTCCTTCAAAAATGAACGAAGACCCAGCAGCAGCGTGACCAAGAAACACAAATTTCGAAATAATGGGTCCACAGACAAAAAAAGAAAGAAAGATGGGATGCTAATGTTGTGGAGCTAAGAAGAGGAAGAATAAAAACTGTACCTTGAAAAGTGGAGGGACGCAAGTGGGGCAGTGCGACCATCAAGAGTGACCACTTCGAAACCAACCCTTTGACCCGCGCGCCTAACTTCCCCTACAAAACCATCATATCATGTCATATGTTACAGTGAAAGAAGAGGAAGGGATCATATCAAATGCTTACGTACGAGTGTAGAAGCCCTGAAGCTTGATGGAGGAATTGAGTCTGAGGGACTCCAACACTCTCATGATCAGAGTGCTTTTTCCCACACCCTGATAAATCAATCAAACAAATCGAAACCGATTAGCAGAGAATGAAGAGAGGGAAAAAAATGGCGGAGTTGGGTTTCTCACCGGAGGACCCGTGACGAGGAAGCATTTTCCGGTACCAGCCATGGTTTCTTTCTGTTTCTGCCTATTATATTTTCTATCTATCTGGGACTGGGATGAGACACACATGTTTTTGTCTCTCCAAATCATCCTCATGGTTAAAATTATCAAAAGTAAACAATAATTCCATGTTCAAATTCTTTATAAAATTTAAATATTGAAATCAATTCCAGTAATTGTTTACAATTTTAGATAAATTTAATGAAAATAGTGACAAATCTTTGTTATATTATTATTATTATTATTATTATTATTATTATTATTATTATTATTATTATGGGTTAAATATGTTTTTAGTCCCTATACTATCACGCGATTTTGGTTTTAGTCCCTCTTTCAAAATAAGGTACATTTTAGTACTCCTCCTTAAGGAAACTTTGATTTTAGTCCTCCAAAATTAACACCGTTAAAAACCAGCTGACGTGGCTAACGGTAGACTGACATGATTTTCTTTTGAGTCCGTATTTCTCACCTTTTCTCCCTCTCTCTCCCTCGTCTCTTCCTTCCATCTTCTACCCAACCTCCCCACCCTCTGCAAAAAGGTCATTGACGCTGTAACGGTTGTTGA